GTACGTAGGTGGGAAATCGAATTTGCTTATAGACCTTGCGGATTATAGGTATAGCAGGTGGAGATGATCAGTTTCAACTTTCAAGCTAAGTAGGATAAAGGTATGCTGAGTGAGAGAATGATTAAATCATTAGGAACTCTTAATTAAGTAGTAGTTTTAATACTTGAAAACTATAGTTCTTTCTGCTGTATTGATGCAATTAACTGGAGTTGTACTGCCATTCGTTAATGCATGCTAACCACTAACCACATAGGTTAAGAACTCTGCTTTTCTGATTATTAATGCTTTTGTTAGCTGGAAAGTTGTCAAATGATGAGAGATAGATGTTACGTTTCCCAGAACCCCACCAGGATTGAGAAAAATGATGTCATCCATCCAAATTATTGCAAGATGCTTCAGAAACTACCCGTATGTGGAAAGCGCCATTTGTGAAGTATCAGGATCTTAATACGACAGAAAAGAAACTCTTCTTGAGTTTATTGTCGACTTGACCATATACTGAATGACAACCTGTAGAGACTTTAAAATATTCATTGTTTTATAGACCTGCATCAGGTTGACGCCAAAACCTAACGTTGGTGGTTTTTAAAAGTTAAAGTGAAGCAGGATCCATCCCTCACTGCTGATGTCTTCCTTTCTACCATGCAGAGTCGTATCAGTTCCAACCAGAAGCAAATTGATTTCCAGAGAAAATGCAAAGAGTCAGGAATCAGGAAAGAGAAAGACAGAGATAAAGAAGAAAGGGGTACGTAGTACGTAGTAATTATATGTTAAGAATCTTGCATGGTTCGTGGCTAATGGAATATCCCACGTGCATCTCAAGCAAAACAAAAATGCGAATTGGATGAAAACTGAATAATTGTGCAGTACTTAATTTATTGAGGCTATATTCTTCCATAGAAAGTGAACAAGATTATTTAAAATATGTTTTATTATTATAATAGGTAATAATTTAAATATAATCTACCAATATTAGTCGGGTTATTCTATTTATAATCTGCTAATAGACTTACAGTAAATATACTCAAATTTTATTGGGGTAATGAATATCATATATCAGACAATTGTATGGGGATAAACTTAAATGAGCTCTCTATTATTCTTATTTGAAAGGTACATAACAAGTTCTTCCAAAACATGTCCTGTATAAAGTTGTACTATCAGCCAGATACCCCTACCATCCATGCTCATTTCGTGTGTTTAACTCTCCCTAATATGTAGGACTTTCAAAAGAAGTTGGTTAGGGAAACAAAAATTGTAAACTACTTTGGATAATAAAATGTCCTATATATGCTCGAGAAGGAAAGGAAGGCATCTGCAGTTTCGCTATTCTTCACTTCTCTCTTCTTCATGTTTAAAAGTTTCAAAAAAAAAAAGCCATTATTACTGGATATCTAAGCATATGTTACTTAGAGGAGCAACAATTACTCCTTTCTCCTTGTTTTATTTTGTTTTATTTTATTTTATTTTTGTTTTCTCATCAGAGTCCAAACTATTTGCATATTGGGCGCTTTTTTATTAAATTTTCAGCTATCACATCAAACATAATCTCAATTTCAAAATATGTGGTATAGTTGACTAATGACTGTTGCGATGCTACAATTGAATCTTTGGTCAAAATATTTCAGCTCTCTGACGAGTAAATGCAATTCATTAGAATCAAACTGGACTAAGTGAATTTAAATTCGAAGGAGGCATGAATATGTAAAGTACACAAAAATTACAATATATTGAAAGATGCTTTTTTTTTTGGTAATAATAGAAAGATTCTTTTAAAAAAAAATAAAATCAAGCATGTTGTTTGCGTCTTCAATCAACATGTTCTGAATCGGTCAATGTTCCGGAAATATGGGGCCTGAAGAGTGGGCTGAATTTTATACTTTTCCCCTTGGTCTGAACTTGGCCCATCTACAGTGAGTTTTTTTTGGGCTGAGCCCAATGCCAACACGACTAATTCCATTATTTTTTTTTTTTTTAACCAGCTGACTGATTCCATATATGATCGTGCAATGTGCACGTGCTCTTTTAATTGATTATTCTTTCAAATTTTGACCGAGAACGAAAATAACTACTAAAAACGACAGAATATAAAAGAATGTCTAAAAAGACATCAATTGTAGAATTTGTAGTGATCCTCTTCTTTACCATTCTTTTTCGGAATATATATATCTTCTGTACCTTTGATTCAATGGTTATAAGAAATTTTGAATTAAGATTTTAAAAATATAAATAACAAAAGAGAGTTGTAGAATAACGAAACTTCAAACGAAGTTGGGAAGATAAGAAAGAAAATCCACCCAAATAATATTCATAGAAATTATATTGAGGCTTCCTCTCTTCTTCTCTCGCACGCACAGATTTTTTGATTTTATCTCATAATTTATTCAAGGCCGTCTTAAAAGATTTAATTTCAGACAATAATGAACACGTGGGACATGCGAAAAAAAAAACCAATGCCGAGTAGAAAAATGGACTAGTCCTATTCGCCTTGTTTTATTTGATCGATCGGCTGATCTTTTTTTTTTTTTTTCATTTTTCCTGGGACATGATCAGATAAATTTATTTCGTATAAACATACACACAAATTAAACAAGACAACCCATTTCATTTGTTTATTTATACCAACAAGACAAACCAGTTTAACCCTCCGTAATTTTTTTAAAAAAATTAATCTCGGATATAAAAGTATCTCACAAATTAACAGCAAAAACGCAGGGTTTGCACGTTTATGATGCAAATGTGAGAAGGAACAAAACATTGCGTGCCATCCAGGGCTGCAAAAAGTAAACGCCTGGCCCAGCTAATTGTACAAGTGAAATAAAAGGAAATTAGGCTAATTGTACAGGATAAAAAGTAACCAAGTAAGTGTGACATATAATGCCCTGGCTTTGACGTTCATCATGCATTTCAACGATGCCAGATGCGTTTTCCGTAAAGAAAGAGTAATAATAATAATAAAGCCAAGACAGAACAAGTCCCTTAGATTCAAAGCGTAACATTTTATGAAATATGAATGTGTGGTGTTTTCTCAAATGCTCTACTCATAGATGGCCATACTTCTATCTACCCTGGCTCTTCTTTTTTAAAAAAGAGCAAAAAAAAAATCCTTTTCTCTCCTATTGCCTGACAAATAAAACGCGGCCGTCTTCAGCAACAACGTGATCCAAAGAACCTGGACACAACTGTGCAGCATAGGTTAGCTGAATATTAGCTCAGCCCACAGAGGAGGAGGAGGAGCAATTCTGATTCGTGGGTCAAATTATTCACCCATCAACTTGTCAGCTGTTCATTTCTTCACTTACAGAGTTGCGTATGACGTGAACAATTAATTTAACCCTTTTATTTTACTAATTAATTAAGATATGATATTCCGATCCTTGGGTTTATAGTGAATCGGTCATGCTTGTGGCTGTGGGGCCCAAAATACGCCAGGCCATTCTCTTTGGTGTTGGAAACTAAGAATCTTCTTCAGCCTACTGTTTCATCCCTCCTCGGGAGCGGGCTCTTCCAGTTCGTTATGCAAGATCCTATGTGCAGCTGTCATTGCTCTTGTGGGGATCAAATTGAGCTTCTTTGCCTTTCGTTGATTTCTCAGTTCTTAATTAAGGTTGTGTGCATGCATCTTGCGTTTGTTGTTTATTTTTGGCTTGCGTAAATTGCGGGTGTCATATACGGGCATTCTGATTGTGATTGCCCTGCTTGGGAGACCTGGGTTTCATTATGCATCATTTGACGTCCCTTTTTCATCTCTTGATGAACCCGACCAGGATTCCCAAACTCTCCAACATTGGTTGATATTTACTTAAGAACATAAAACATCCACGGAGGTTGCTTACAAAATAATCCTACAATTAAAGACGCGCAGTGAATTATAAATACATGACGAAAGAAACAAAAACACAAAAAATTACTCACAAATGAATGGCACGTTATCCTGTGAATCGGTAAATCCTTCTGGAAGTGGAAACTGTGGAACGCGTGAGCTAAAATTACAAAACGTGTGTAGAATCTTTTTCTGTTTTATTGGACCACAAAAACGTGTACAGAGTCCTGAGTCCAAATTATGGTAAAATTCCCAATAGATCATAACCACAAGTGTGAACAAGGACGCGTAGGTTGATAAAAGAACAAAAGAAAACTCGGTTCTTGATTAACACGCAAAGAACATAGTCGAAATTGTCGAAAGAATATATGCTTCTTTTTTATACAATTGACAACAAACTGGCCTAAAATTGGGCACATGCCTTGCCAACCAAATACACCATGATTTCCCTTCAATTTTAAATGTCGGGTACCGCCCGGTGCTTATCAATTAAGAAGACTCCCTAAACAGGGAGAGTAAATTTGAAAAGGCCTGGCGATAACTATGAAGGAAATGAAGGACACGCATGCCATTACAAAGCAACAAAAGTTTGAATTCCTTTTCCCACGCATTAAAAACGCATCCATTCCCCTTGTAACTTGTTCCATGTAATTTGGCGTCTGGCCATCTTACCACACCGTTGAACGACGCGGCACGTCACTTCCATTAATTAGAAAATTAACAGAGCCCGCGTTGGACGACAAGCAACGACAAGTAAATCCACGCGTCCTCGTCATCGACCCACCTCCGTAACCTCGAGAAAGCCTCCAAAACCTCGTCCTTATCCTCGCCAACCATCCTCCATTTGCTCTGCTCCTCGTTATTTCTATTTTAGTATTTCTCTGATTTTAGCTAATTGCTAATTTCTAAGGTAACCGGTTTTTTTTTTTTTTTTTTACGGTGGGGAGAAACAGCAGATAGCGTGCACTTTTTGCGTGAGGTGGTGGTAGACGCTGGACACTGAAGGAAGCTTTGCACACTGTACCAACAGTAAAAACAGTCAACAACGTGGATAAGCACCAGCACTTGCCCCACCCTTCACGCGAATCTGCTCTTTCATCACGGCGTACGTTTGGCGGCTCACACACAGCACCCGCTCATCGGAGAAAAGAACAACATAGACGCATGAAATAGGAACTAAAATGAATTTGAATTCCCATTAAAATAAATAAATTGAATTTCCACTGTCAAACTACAGAATCCAAACCAGCGAATAGGATCCGTTACTGTATGTACAGAAACAAATGAATCCCGAAATGCCCCAACAAATGAAAAATTGAAATAACAAACGAAGAATTTGATTCAATTTGATCTAAATTCCTAGTGATCTAATTCTGACCAACACATATGAATCGTGGCAATTCAGTGATCTTCTTCAATTTTGGGTGCCACCAAAAGACGCGGCTTTTTAACTGGCAGAGGGCTCTCCACTTCGTCGTCCCCGGGCGAGAAGAACCTGGCCGAAAAGTCAGGCAAAGCGGGAAGGTTCAGGTCGAAGTCACGTTGGCTGTGGCTAACGGTATGGGTGGATCCCACTCCTTCCGAGGCAGTGACAGCGCTGCTACCGCCGCCAGCGGCAGCAGCACCGCCGTCGTAGTGACATCGCTTGTGACCTCCGAGGGCCTGTCCGGTGGGGAAGGACTTGTGGCATATAGAACATTCATGGGACTTGCCCCCTGGGTTGGATGCAGTTGCCGTGGTGTTTGCAGATGTACTCGTGACGGCGGAGGAGGTGGACTGATCTTCCCCATGACCGCCGCCCGCAGTGAGTTTTCTGTGACTGGCCTTGTGTCCTCCAAGAGCCTGGTAAGAGGAGAAAGCTCTGTCGCAAACAGAGCATTTGTAACTAAGCTTGGGGGCGGGGGTTGGATCTGGTGCGGACAGCGGTGCCGATCCGGATACAGCAGGAGGAAGATTATCCTGAGGGGAGCTATGACGGTCGGATGAGGTGGGATTGGTGGGGGAGACGGCGGGGCCGCTGCGAGCCAGCATGATGAGGCAGAGAGCGAGATACTCTTCCTCCGTGCTGCATGAGGAAGGATGGTCAAGACGAGGACGCCTGGAACGCTTGCGCTTAGTCCACGATTCCAAGGAATGAAGATTAGAGTCCAATTCGAAAGGGAAGGGGGGAGTAGCGGCGGTGGGTGACTTGACAGCTTCCAGAGCCATGTGATCTGAACTCGAAGCAGGAAGAGGGGGAGATAGAGTTAAGATTTTGGAGAAGCTGTTTGTATGATGAGCTGAATGGTGAATGAGTTGGAGTGAGAGTGAAGAGGGGGGCTTATTATAAAGGGAAGGGGAAACAGAGGGTTGGGGAAGTTGCGTGACAAGTGATGAGAAAAGTAAGCGCGGTGTGTGAGTCATTGCATCTTAATTTAATCATATATAAATATATATATATAAATGTTAACAGAAAGAGTACTGGTACAATGCAACATGCTAGAAAGCGAGAGTTTTCTTGGTGGCTAAGGGCACTTTAGTCGGTCAAACAAAGTGTGTTTTTTTTTTTTTCGGTTTTTTTGGGAGAGTGAGAGTGAGAGAAGTCACTGGGGAGGACCGAGCGGAGTTGGAAGCGAAGACTCGTTCTGAGTCAAAATCCACCAAAAGGGGCAACCAGGCTTCTTTTTTTCTTTTTTCTTTTTTTTTTTAATGATTGAGTTCCGATAGTAAAAGTTGAGAGAGAAGGCGGTCTGAATGAAAGGGCTGGTCCACAGCAGCCGGCTGAGACTATTCCTTGTCAACATCCATCGTTGGGGTCGGAGGCCGACCTTTTAAAAACCGAGTAAAGTTTGACGACTTGAAAACGGATCAGTGAGGGCTGCATTTACTGGATTAATATCCTCCTTCATTCATGTATCTCAACAATTTAACGAATCAGACACTACTAGAACACCGCCATACGGACGGGCAGTTCCACGCATTGCTTATGTTTGATATGAGATCACTCGAACAACCCACCCGGATTTCTCGGAGGAGTGGTTTTCTGTTTTTTGTTTTTAATTTTGTTCAACTTTCGTTCGATGCATTTAGCCTCACATTTATCTCTCAAAGTGACATACTGACACCAGCGCCATTATCTTACCATTTATCTTCCCTCAAGAGATAGTATGGAAAATTGTTACTATATGATTCTCGATAGTTGATCCTGAATTTAAACTGTTGCTGATTTCATTTCACCCCCCTTGCGTACCAAATTATCTTTTTAACTGATCGCAATTCAATTAGGTCCACGGAATTAACTGAATTGGGAGTGCGCTAAATCCCTTTAATTTTTATAAAGGTAAATGAAACGGCAATATTAAACAATTAAGTTAGCGGATTTGCCCGGGCAAATGTGTGTGTGATTGAATTTTTACCAATTGCATGGCAAATATATGCCCGGACAAACTCACACCTAATACCTAACGACTGCAAAAAATAAAAAATAAAAAATACATAACAATAATAATCTTAAAATTTGTCGTTACTTGTTTGACTGCGAGCATTTTTCATTGATGGTTAATAAACAGGCCTTAAATTAATGCATGTAAGAAGCCTGTGATCAAAATGAAGAGTACAACTGGAGATCAAAGTTAGCAAGCTAATCACCAAGTGGAACACCGTTTGAACAAAAGGGGATGATCAAAGAAGTTGATAGAATTAGGTGGCGAACGCGGAGGAAAGTGGAGGGAAAATTCAGGGGCATGGTGGCCGAGAGGAGAAGTTGAAATTGAGTGTCTTAGAGTGACATATATTCACACACGTGGAATCATGAGTCGGCTATTGAGTTGAATATGTATTTATTATTTGAAGTGCCAGATCTCTATTTCACTTCCCATTGGATTTGGGTGTTCTGGTGCTGCGTGGAATCATGAGTCGGCTATCTAGAATGAATATGGAACCCTGGAAAGGTACGCGAAGCATCCAGTTCAATCCAACGCCAACCACACATGCACTTCCTTCTAAATGAATCCCACCATATATAGCCTCTTCTCTCTCTTTTGTGTCTCTCCCGAAAATTTGAGCCTCTTCTTGCTCGTTCTGGTGACACGCGTGTCCTGACGTCATTCGAGTGTTAAGTTTGACCCCCCCTTTTTAAAATCCATTCGAGTGCGTTCTATCAAAGGTCAGGAATAAGAATACATTTTAAAAAACACAGGAAGAAGAAAGCCAAATTAATTACTAATTACTCAAGCTAAAATAAAACAACACTAAGCTCGTGCACACTTGTATTTTCTTAGGTAAGGTGATCGAAGCAGTTCAGTTGTACACCATGCGACTAATATGATCGAACGGAAAACAGGATCGATCCGCTTATATGTATTTCTGCTCCTCAAGCTGTGTGCTTGGCAGGGATTCGTGGTGCGAAGTGCGAATATGTAATCACCAATCATTACACGTGATAAAATTTGTAAAAATATCGGTTTCTCATGTTCATAATTGCATGTTGATTTATTTTTTGTAAAGAAAATTCCATTTATTTAGGCGGCAAGAGACAACTCACGAGTCCCTTTCCGACGAGCCATACTCGTAGCTGGAACAGTGAAAGTGAAATGCAAGGGGTAGGGACGTGTGGTTTCCGCGCTAGCGGACTGTGTTATTCCTATTTTTATATATTGATCCTCTGCCACCACCTCAAATGGGTTAATAATATATACTCTTGGATGAAAAATATTTTTAAATAAATATCACTTTTTAATAAATTAATTATTTATTTTATAATTAATTATATTTTTATATTTATTATTATTTAATATGATATTTATTTTACTTTAAGATAAATATAAAGTGATTTATTTAATAAAAATATTTTTTTAAAAAAAGTAATAATTACATTTTAAAATATTAAAAATGCCTCATTATCAATATTAAATATATATATTTTAACAATATATATCTCTCACCAATATTTAATCGAGGATGGAAGAAAAAATTTGAATTGCAAATTTAGCGAGGTGACTTGGAGATAAAATAAAAAAAAGTTCTTTCTGCTTTATAAATAAAATTAGAAGAAGTATTAATTAACTAGAGCAAACAATTATCGTGAGAAAAAATCGTAAACCACGATGTTTTTGTTTTGGTTTCCTGTGTTTTGTATTGCGTATGCAGAACCGACTTTTGTGAGCCTTTTCTTCGAAGTTTTTTATGTGCCAAGCTGCGTCAACGGCTTTAATTATTTTGAGAATTAAAATTGTATTGCCAATCATTAAACATATAATAACCACCGAGGTCGAGGTTCAGCCTATGTACCCTATGGATATGGTGATCCCTGTGATACCCTACCTCCAATGGGCTGAATTTCGGTGAAAATTATGGAGGGCGACCTTAGATGTAATATTAATTGTGAAATTAGTATTAGTTGATGGCCGGCGATTTGCTACACTTTGCACGACGGTCGGTATAATAAAAAAAAAAACTATAACTTTTATTCCCTATGCTTTTTACATAATTTTCTTTTAACTGTTCCTACACTTTATTTTTGACATTATAAGTCTTTATAATTTTCTCCATTTACACTTTAAGTCATTACACTTTTAGAGGGATGACGATGTAGCATTAACAATATTAATTATGTTAATATAAATAATAACACTATTAATTATATAGTGACATGTCAGTTAGTTACTCGTGTATTTTTTTGGGGGGGAAAGAAAGAAAAGTTTATGTATACTCCTTTTAATTTTTATTATAAGAAACTTTCAACTATTTCACACACTTTAAGAAAAGTTAATTTTTTTTTGATATTATAAAAAAAATGATGTGTACTTTCGTTTTTATCCTGACTCGAAATAATGATACAACTGTATTAAATACTTTCATGATAATAAAAAAGAATAAAATTAAAAAATAGCTTAATTATTATAAAGTGTTTTATATTTTGAATCAAAAATTTTTTCTAAAATATGTCTTATAAATAGGATTCGGGGGAGTATTTTTTCAATAATCAAAAAGTGAAAAAGATTTCTCCCAACTTCAAATCTGAATAATATATTTTATATACATTGAAAAATAATAAATCATCCTAAATCTAATCTCAAACCTGACTTTGGAACACAAAATAACAAAAAAGCACCCTGAACCACAAAATTGTAACAACCCTGAAAATAGACATGTGATATTTTTTTTATAGCCTTAAATCTTACTTATATATATAATAATTATTACTTATATATATAATAATTATTAAAAAATACACATAAGCTTTTTTCTTTTTTTTCTTAAAAAAATACAACCAGGCACTAACTGACATGTTATCATATAATTAACAGTATTATTATTCACATCAATATAATTAACACCGTTAATACTACATTAGCACCCCTCTAAAAGTGTAGGGACCTAAATTACAAATGAAAAAAATTAAAAGAATTTAAAACATCAAAAAATAAAATATAAAAATTAATAATAATAAACTATGTATAAAGTGCAGAGGGATTGAAAGTTATCGTTTTTGTAATAGAAATTTAATTGAGTATATTTCTAAAATATCTGTTTTTTAATTATTTTTTGTGAAGTTCAGTGCATTGTTATTCCATAATAAAAGGCAGCGACAATGATAGGGACTGAAAACTGGTCTCCAAATCCCAACTTGGAACTCTAGTGCTTCCCACTCTGTAAATCACGTATCGCCCCATCTCTTTCGGCTTTGGCTGAAGCAATCCACTTCAAATTCAACTCTCAGATCTTCTTCATAGCTCGTCACCGAATTGATTACACCGATTATTAATCATGATCATCATCACATGGGTCTAATTAAGACAGTCTGTCTAGTATAGTTGGATCTAGTAGTAAGTTGATGAATATAGATTTTCAAAACTGGAGGTGTTAAAGGAATAATGTGAACTTACATTTTAAAAAAAAAAACCTAGAAAGGTGGAGCCTCATTAATAGTAATATATATAAATTGAAGGTGGATTAGGTGGCAGGCGAATTGGAAATGTGCAGGGCCTTGATGACCAGAGGGTGAGCCAAGAGCAGCACGTGATAAATAAGTTGAGTAATTACTTCGAATATTTGAATGTATAAAGTTGGATTAGGGGTTGTTTTGGTTTTGGATAGAGGCCCCACAGTCGAAAGGCAATACTGACTCGGACTGCTAAATAACACACAGCATTCGGTCCCAAACAAGCGTCGGTTTTACTGACTCGGACTGCTCAACCTGGATCCACCATCCTGCTCCGAATAAAATCGACTGACTAAATTGCAAAGCCCAAAGTAAAAACGTGGGATTCTTCTCAAGGAACCTTTTCAGCCCGAGAATGGATGGGTATTGTTAACATGTAAAGCAGGACAAAAGAGTGCGCATCGTTAGCTCAAACTAA